ATTAGTTCCTCCCAGCCTGGCCAGCACAGCCCTTACTTCATACACCCTGTGCTTCAGCGCTGGGGGTCCCAAACACAGCCTGACAATCATCTGAGGGTGGGGGAGGGGAGCATAGGAAAAATTCAGCTTTATGTAGAAAACAATGCAAGTTGTAATTCAGCAAGGCTGGGGTGAGGCCCAGAACTCTCTATTCTGATAGGTTCAATGGTACTTAGCTATTCGAAGGTCATGAATGCCTTTGCTAATCTAATAGAAACTATGGACCCTGTCTCCAGAAAAATATGCAATCCCATAGCTGTGGACGGCAACTCCAGATGGTTCTCAGAGCCTATCTGAGAGCCTCAGACAGGAACCCCGGTCTAGACACAAGGAGCTGCTCACCATCCCCCACACCTGACCAGCATTTCCTCCTCTCAGGCCTGCTGAGGTTGCTCTAGCAGAGCTGTGCACCAGCAGCGGCAGCCTCACCTGGAGCTGGGTAGAAATGCACACTCTCAGGCCCACCCCAAACCCACAGAGCAGAACCTATGCTTCAGCAGGATCCCAAGGAGATGGGTAAGCATATTATTGTAACATTTGCCATCTCTGTAAGTTAACTCCAAAATGTGCCCCCTCCTCTACCCAATAATCGCCCAAGGTCCAAAATCTACCCAACCCTTGAGCCCATCTTAAATGGACCACCATGAGCCTTCCCTGGGCCCCCCTCCCCCAGCTGAGCTCTCACAGGTCTGCATCTCTCTGTTTAATGCTATTCTTCTGTGTCACTTGAGTTTTCCTTGGGTGACCCCAGCACGGGTCAACAGAAGGCTATTAAAACATTGTTTTAATGTTTCAGTCTCTATTTCATTTCATCTTCACATTCTCTGTTTCCCTCATACCCTCCCAGTTCAGCACCTTCACAGGGCACTTCAAATGTGCTCACCTGTCCCTTGACCCCGCATCACACTGCTCAGGCCACCTCGTGCAATGCAAACCCCACACGAGGACAGCGGCTTCTCTCCCAGGTGTAACCCAAGGGTGTCGCAGAGTAGCCCACACTGCCCTCAGCCTAAGAGTTTGCTTAGCTCCCACCCCTCCCCCACATCGGTCCCCTCCCCCTGGGACCCAGGAGCTGATCCCTGCGGGCTGGTCCAGCACAGTCTAAGAGACAAGCCCCCTGCTTGGCTCAGACACCACTCCCTCCCAGCACACAACCAACCCCCTGCAGGTGGACCTTCCCTTTCTATTCCCAAAGGCCATTCCCATCACTGCGCCCCCCACCCCATCCTCAGGAATATCCTTGGCTTCTCCTTGCAAATAGACCTGGGGCAGATCCTCCCTGAATGCAGGGAATCCTAGATGCTGGAAGCTTGGGGTGAGCACTGCTCAGATTTATTTCTCAGCCCAGTCCTACTTTCCACGAGCACTCACTCTAGCATCTCTTCTGGAAAGTAAGCTCCACGGTGCTTCCCTTCTCATCACTCCACGGCCCCCTGCAGGGTGCCGCACAGGGTAGGTGGTAACTGAATGTCCCCAAAAGGTGGTGTGGCAGATGAGAAAGAGCACGGCACTGAGAGCCTAGAAATGCACAAACCAACACAAACGTGGCCATTCCTCTTCTGTGTCACCTCGGGCCTGTCTTCGCTTTGTTCTTGGCCTCAGTTTCCCCATCAAACAGGTAGGTGATCCCTGAGGTCCCGTTCATATGTGACATTCTGTGAAAGAATAAAGAAGGATTCAGGTGCTTGAGAGGAAAGGGATTGCCTAGCAGAGGCCCCAGGAAATCGGTCTCTGGTCTACCTGGAGCTAAGCGCTAACCTGGAGGAGAGGAAGCGTCTAGAAAGGACACAGGGGTGGGTGCGCATCCCTCCTGAACGCCTGAGCCAAGGGGGTGCCAGCAAGCACAGGCAAGGGGCCTGCACTAGGTGGGCAGGACGAGGCACCAACACTGGCTTCTGATCTTTCTAGAAAGCTCACTTTTACTTCCTCTCTCCTTCACCCCTGACACTGAGTAGGAGTCTGCCGCGATGACCAAGGCACACCCCGAGGATCCCGGCGGCGGGGTCAGCCCGCAGGGAGGAAGGAAGAAAGTATTATTCACCGAGAGAAACTTTTCCATTCCTCATCCGTGAGTTGACGGTCTATGAGTTGACGGTGGGGACCCCAGGGGAGCTGGGGATTCTGCAGGGCAAGAAGACACCGGCCCTCACCTCCCCACGCACGCCCTCGCCGGGCCTTTCCTTGCAACACCCCCCTGCAGGGGCCCACCCCAGGCTTGCGCGGAGATGTTCCCAGCACAGCCCCGCGTGAGCTCCCTGGCAGCGGGCCGGGCCGGCATCTGGAACGCAGGCTCGGCCAGATGCGCCGTCTTCTGCGGATCCGGGAACTTCCAAAGCTGCCTCAGAGCGGGGATTTCCACTCTGCTCTCCCTTCCTGTGACCGACCTTCCAGCTGGGGAGAGCATTCCTGCTGGACAGCGCAGAGTGGGAGGGCGACAAGCTGTCGCCTCCCAGAGGACTTTCTTTTCTCATTCACGCTCTTTCACCTTCCACACGTTTATCGTCTGACGAGTCACTTTCCAAAGATGACAGCTTCTCCCTGAAGCACAGACATAGTACCAAAACCCTTCTTTAGTCTTTCACGCTCAGAAGTCTGACCGAACACTCAGCAAAGCTGGGAAGCTTTTCCCGGTGACCGTGGGCCGGTTGGTCTCCCTCTCTGGAACGTGGCTTCTTCACACACAAAGAGGAGGTTGTGCTTTAGCATCTTGACAGGTCCTGTGGGTCTGGGCGTCTGTGAGTGAAGGTGACGTGGCTAAGCCCAGAGAGAATTGAGATCTCAGCCTCTTTCCCCTTGTTAACCTGGAGAAAACCCAAAGAATACCTGGATCCCACAGGGAACGGGGTTGCCGCCCTCCGGGTCTGTGGGAAAGGTTGCATTTATAGATGGGAGAGGGGTTTCCATGACTACGAGGGGAAACTTCTTGGAAGTTAAGATGAGACGATCTGGGGAGAAATGACTGCATGACGTTGCAGAGTCTCCTGTCCCGGAAATAGTTTATTCATTTGATAAGAATGGAATGAGCCATGCGGGAACGACTAGCCAAACACAAGAGATCTCAGCACTAGTGGGGAGCAAAGGGGCTGCTAGCAAGATTCAGGGTGAATGAAAATAAGGTTCTGTGAAGGGTGGGAGCAAAGCAGGACTCACGTTGGTTTGTTCTCTCTTCAGTCTGCCTCTCTGGGTTGCCACCCAACAGTCTGGGATGGCGGCTGCCCTGGGATATCCATCATGCGACATCAAGTCTCATGCCTGGGGACAGAGGAGCATGTCCTGGGTGGGTGTCTCAGCCACACCTGCTATTACTTCTGATCCTGGGCAAAGTACTTAACTTCCGCTTCCACCTAAAGAAAGTTGGGCTGTTCGGAGGCCTCGTGAGGCGGTGCCGGGAGGCACATCGGCTCTGGATGAGCGCTCAGTCATGCCATTACTGACCCTCCCTGGGAACCAAACGCAGTCGTTTGTGTAACACAGCCCCCTTCTTATTACAAATGCAGCGACTGGCAAGTGTTCTCCTCCAAGAAGCTGCATGCATTTATGACATCATCTCAGTGACCCTTTAAGAAAGAGAGTCCCTGGTCCTTCCATGCCCACTGGGCAAGGGCATGCCAGGCTCAGAACGAGGAGGCGGAGGGTTTGGGGAGGTCAAGAGGCTTGAGCTCTAGGCTTGGCTCAGCCACGAACACGCCTCAAGGAATCCTACCACGTGTGTAAGAGAAAGAAGTTCAGGGAAATGAATTCTAAGGTCTTTTAGTTTTTATTGCTATGATTCTGTGGTTTCTGGGGAAACCAAAGGCAGAACTGCAGCACGAAGCCAGACATTCCAGTTCCCGAAAGGCTGCGCCGCTGCTCGCTCCTGCTCCTGGAAATCAAGAAAGAAGCGAGGAGGACGGCCACCGTAACACGGGGGCGCTTCCCGCCCACTGCCTCGCTGACCACAGGCTCCTGCCTCAGGGTGACTTTACCGTGAGGAATGTTTCTCCACTCACTCCGCTCTCGCTGACTGCTCTTCTGGAAGATGCTGGGGGCAGAGAGAAGACCCAGATATAGGGCCAGGCGGCCAGTTGGAGGACTTGCACATGTCCCCTTCCAGACGTATGTCACAGTGGTGACGGCAGAGACACTGGGGCTGGGCTGCCTGGGTTCCGCTTGAGGGACCTTGGGCAGGTTATTTAACCCCTTAGTCTCTTAGTGCCTCAGTTGCCTGATCTATGAAATGGGAATCAAGGATACCTACTAGAGAGAGCTCAGGAATTTAAAGACTTAACATTTGTGCCTAGAATGTTCCTGGCCCAGAGCAAACACCCTGTGAGCATAGCACGGGCATTTCTTCCACAGCACTGCATGATGTGTGTGCCTTCCTCCAGGTCTGAAACCCCAGGACTCTTAGAATTCAGTTCGATGTTTAAAACACCCTCCAGCTCTGCCAGGGTTCCACCGCGTCGCCGCCCCGCCTCTTAGCGAACAGCTGGCTATAATGTGCTTTGGGGGAGCCCACCATGGCTTCAGGCCCTTCCTGGCTCAGAGGCCCCTTAGAGGGGTGCCTGAAGGTGGGCCGGCAGCAAGCCCCACATACTGCTTTGTGACCTCAGTTTCCTCACTTCCTTCCCTTTCCGCAGAGTTCCCACTTCAGAGAAAGCTGAATCCTTAAGAATGACCCACTTGGCCCACATCTGTCTGTGGTCAGGCTGGGCATCACGGCACCCCGTCATCCCCCACCTCGTTTGGTCTCAACAGTGAATGGAAACCAGGCCCCATCCAGACCCACCGCTTCCCTCTTCTACTTCCTGGAAATCTCCCAGGGCGCTGCCCTTGCTCAGCAGATTTAACATTCCACTGCATCATTCATTGAAGATGCTGCCCTGCGCCAAGCCCCCCCTCTCGGTTCCACCCCTCTTGGCTTTCAATAAAAGGCAGCCACAGAGCTGCCAGAGGCAGAGGAGCAGAGAGGCTGAGACCAACCCAGAAACCTCCAGCTCTCCCGCTGAAGCTCACAGCTCTCCTCTCGCCTCTCGCCCTCCAGCATGAAGGTCTCCGCAATCCTCCTGTGCCTGCTGCTGGCAGTAGCTGCCTTCGGCCCCCAGGGCCTTGCTCAGCCAGGTAAGGGCTCCCCTCCATCCTCTAGGAGCACACCGCCCCCTCTCTGGGGCATCACGCACCTTCCTAGCAGGAGGGGTACCCACAGTCTCGCTTTAACAGCTGCTTTTCCAAGATAAGGCGACTCAGAGAAGGACAAGGACTGAGTCCGATCTCACAGCTGCTCCCAGACAGAGCCTGAGCTACAAGTCCAGCTGTGGACCCCACATCCAGCTCCTCCCGGGACTCTAGCCCTGGGGACACCCTCAGTGTGGTTACTGCCCCAGCCGCTTCCAGCAGAGTTTGGGGACCAGGGTGATCAAAGAGAGGGGGTGTCTGGGGTAGGTGTGCAGGCTGTTTCCAGACATGAGGGAGGGGAGAGGAGACACAGAACCTGGTCTATGCTTCATTCAGCCCGGATTCCAGAGGCAGAGGCTCTGTGGGGCAGTGGGTATCAGGGTAACTCAGGACCAGGCAATGACTTCTCTGAGCCTAAAAGGGGACCTATAGCCGGGGTCCCCAGATGATCTTCCCTGGCCCTGATAGTTTGGATTATTAGCCCCTCTAATGTTGCCTAGTTTTAACAGCTCCCCTTTCTGTCTGTGCATTATCAATGTTGTATACCCATTTTATGGCACAGGAAACTGAGTCAATGTGTCAAAGATCACATTCTATCTCTGAAGTATAGGCAGAAATATTGGGATTTAATGGGCTCTACATCTTCTCCTGCCATCTCTTTGCCTTCTCCTCATGACTCTTCCCTGCTTTGGTTTAGATCAAAAGAATCCAGCTCATTCTAAAATGTTTTTTCTTTGTGGTTTGTTTTCCAGATGCAGTTAACGCCCCCGTCACCTGCTGTTATACATTCTCAAGTAGGAAGATCTCATTGCAGAGGCTGATGAGCTATAGAAGAGTCGCCAACAGCAAGTGTCCCAAAGAAGCTGTGATGTGAGTTGAGCACACCAACCCTCCCTGGTCCAAAGTTCTTCCTTAGGGAGCAGGAAACAAGCTTCACACACTCACAGTCAGAGAGTTACACCACCTAACCCTATAGCCAAAGATTCTCAAAGAGGAAATTGGGCCAAGAGGGAAAAAGTGACTCCTAACATCACTCTCCATGTAGGTGCTTATTCAGACCATCCCAATCTCGTTAGCCTGATGTCAGGATGGTTTCACTGAGTCACCTACAGGAGCAGCTTGCTCTGGGTCCCATCCTTCCACCTGCCTTCCTTCTCTAGTTCCCGTGGTGGCCCCTTGGTACAGAATGGGCTGCACGTCTAGACTGAAACTTCATCTAACTGTGTCTTCTCTCCCCACAGCTTCAAGACCATACTAGCCAAGGAGATCTGCGCTAACCCCGAGCAGAACTGGGTCAAGGATTACATAGCCAAACTGGACAAGAAAACCCAAACTCCAAAGCCTTTGAACACTCACTCCACAACCCAAGAATCTACAGCTAACTTATTGTCCCCTAGCTCTCCCTAAATACCCTATTTTATTTTATTATAATTTCAAAATGTATAAACGTTTATCGATATGAAACAGAATGCCTTAAGTAATGTTAATCTTATTTAAGTTATTGATGTTTTAAGTTTATCTTCTGTGATACGAGTGTTTTTTTAGATCTGGAGACCGGGCAAATTGCTTTTCCTCTGTGAACCCCGAATGGGATATTTTGCGGGTCCTTGCAAGGATCGTTAATGCAACGACTTCTTGTTAAATTCCGAGGCATTGCTAAAAATATTATTGTGGAAATGAGTATTATGTAACTATTAAATAAAAAATATATTTTTGTACAAAACCTGACTTCTGGTGTTTTCTTGAAGGAAACTACAAAGCTGAGAGTATGAGCTTGGTGGTGAGGGAGAAGCATGGGTTTGGGGAGGGGGGTAGTTCCCATTTTAGAGGAATAGGAATGTGGATCGGTCCTGTTCTTTTCTACTGGGTGGTCTCATCTGAGCATCCCTAGGAGAATCTTTAAGGCAGGGCCCAGTCAGGAATTCTAGTGCCATCGTTCCAGTCCTCAGTATCAGCTGGCCAGATCCCAACAACCCTGGTCACCTGTTTAGCAAGAGCCCCACCTTCCTTCCCTCTCTCACAGCCCCTGGCCCTTGCCCACAATCCTTCCCATGATATATCACAGCTGCCCCCTTAGCTGGGCTACCCGCCCCCAACCTGTGCCCTTCCAATTAATCCTCCAACCTGGAGCAAGACAGACACTGCAGATATGAGGAAAAACTTAATCAACAAATAAGATGGTTAGATTAAGGTTTCATAGAGAGGATGAGACTTGAACTTATCCTTGAGGAATGCATAAAGTCTTTCTAGAAGGATTGCAGGATCATTAAAAAAAGGAGAACTACCTGGAGGCAGAAATGATGAGGATGTGCACATCAAAGAGGGTGAAAAACCATCGCATGGGAGCCAGGGTCCATGTCTATACAAAAGAACGGAAAGTTCAGAAAGGAAGGTTGAATAAAATGTTTCCAATATTGGGGCTGAGGGGAGTTAGTGCTCGACTTTGTAGGTTAAAAGTCTTCACTCCGGTGAGGAAGGATGTCCCATTTTCAGAGGTTCAGAGACGAGTTTCAGGAAACGTAACTTACTGGCTTAGTGCAGACATGGAGAAGTACGGCAGGTGAGGGGTTACTGCTATGGTCCAAGCAATGATGAAGGCCTAAATATGGAGCCTAAGAGGCAGCACTGGAGAAGAATGAGCTAGGCAGGGTGAAATGCTGCATGTTGTTGCTGGAGGAGAAGGACCTGTGATTTCAGATATGGAAGCCTCTTCTTCAACCCCCATTTTAAGGGACAGCTTCCCTGAAACCAGAAAGTACTTCCCGCCATCACTATCCACCCCACATCCCAATCCCTGCAGCCTGGAATCAACCATTTAAACAGATGGGCCTCCTTTTCCTAAATGTCCACCTAAATTGATGCACCTGTAAGGCATTTGGCCCACCTGGGCACCCAGACAGCCCCTTCACTCAGGAAAATACATGGATATCTTGCTCTGTTGAATAAACCGCATAGTTCTTAGCTTCAATCAGGTGGGGAAATGACCACTGTGTCAGGCTAGACCGGGCAGTGCCTTTGGCAGCACAAGGAGCTGGGGAGAACTCCGGCTGCAAGACAGACACATGGGTTCCAATCCCAGAGCCGACACTGACGCAATCTGTCAGTCAGGGCGAGTCAGGCATTCTGCGTCTTCGTCGATAATGCGTTACACACAGGGGGACTTAGGTTCCCTTCCAGATCTGGGAGCATATCTCTTGGAAAACTTCCATTTCTACCCTCTGGAGCTGGATAGGGAGAGAGGGGATTCTGCTTCTCCATTCCTGAGCCATCCAGGGTCCCTGAATCACGCTAAGGAATTCCTTCAAAGCTCCAAGTGACCCTGTACATCAGTCTGCAGACAGTTTATTGAGGGCTGTTTATAAAAGTCACTGACCCTCATTCCAGGTCAACCCCCACTCCCTGCCCCACCTCTACCCCTCCAGTCCTCAGCCTTGATCACCAACCAGGAGTGAAATCTCAAATTGCAGTGGATGCCAACAGGCAAAAAGAAAGTGGAACGCAAGCAAATGTGACCTGATCACATAGGTCACTGAGCGGCAGGCCCTCTGACGCCAGGCGGATTTGAGGCAGAGGGTCTGGGAGGAGGGCAGGCAGGGGGAGGGGGGATCCATGTGCTCAGACCCCAAAAGAATCTGCTCACATTCCCCTTTCAAGTCACATCTATTCATTTTTGGAAATCTTGAATCCATATGTGTTTCCGGCCAAGCATGGGATTCCTTGTCCCTTACACGACGAGACGGAGCACAAGGCATCGGCAGCGTTGAGAAACTGTTTTAGGAGAGAATGCCAGGAGCAATGCATTCATTTCCTGTGGCTGCCAAGTCCTGTTCCAGGAAATCTAGGCTTTTTCTATCATGCTCAAAATTCTTCCAGCCTCTGCCCACTGTCCAGTTCCAAAGCCATTTCCACATTTCCAGGTGTTTGTTACAGCAGCGCCACACCTCTAGGTACCAAAATCTGTATTATGAATAGTTTTTTATTGCTACTATAGCAAACGATGATAAACTTAATGGCTTAAAACAACACAAATATGTGGTCTTGGAGTTCTAGAGGTCGGAAATCTACTAATAGGGCTGTATTCCTTCTGGAGGCTCTAGGGGAGAATACTTTTCTTTTTGCCTTTTCCAACTTCTAGAAGCTACCTGCATTCCTTAACTCATGGTCTCTTCCTGTAGCTTCAAAATCTCCCTCCTCCTCTCTCTTGCTCTCTCTGTCTCTCATTCTCTTGCCTCTGCTTTCATAGTCAAATCTTATCTCTGACTCTGACCTCCCTGCCTTTATCTTTAAAAGTGATTATATTGAGCCCATCTGGATAATCCAAAATTGTATCTTCTTGTCAAGATTCTTAAGTTAATCACAGCTGTAAAATTCCTTTTGCCATGTCAGGTAACATACTCCCAGGTCAGAGGGATTAGATAAGGATATGAGCATCTTTGGGAGGAGGACATTATTCAGACGACCACGGCTAGGAGTCAGGTAAAGATTTACAATAGGTAGCCGGGCACTGCGACCTGGCCTTTGAGATCTAGATCTGGGTTTAACTCGATTGTCAGATAACCTTGTGCAAGTCACCTTTCCTTGGTGGGTTCATAGGTTATGAACTTTATTTATGCATGAAGTGCTTCCTAAGTTGCCTATGCATTAAAGTCACCTGAGTTCCTTCCAAAACATCAGTGCATCTCCAAAGACTCTGATTTAGAATGTCGGAACTGGGGAAGGCTCCGCCTCCCATGGGTAGATTTTACGAGTTCCATAGAAGGTCCTGGTGCACGAGTTTGAGGCCCCGTGCTCCTCAGCTCTCTCACATTCAGGTTGCTGAAATTGATAGCCAATCCTGTGACCTCTGACTTGGGTTTTCATAGTGTCCTTTTTTCTGACCTAGACTTGGCCAATTTACAATCAGGAGTAAAAGGGAATACAGAGTCCAGAAATTTAGGACATTACAGAATTTGAAATACCAATTGTTTCACCATCCCAAGCAGTGAGATGGAATTTTTAAAAGGCTTTGAACAACAAGGTATCCACAAAACCCCGTAGTGGGATAGGGTGCCTTAAGGGAGAGAGTGGGTTAAGGATGTGGCGTTCCCATCCTAGCCTC